ACTTCCTTGTTAATTTCATCGATCTTTTCAAAGAACCTGCTCTTTGTTTTGTTTTTTCATATATTTAATTTTTACCGATTTCTGCTCTTTATTATTTCCTTCTTCATGCTTGCTTTGGGTTTATTTGGCTCTTGTTCTAGGTTCTTGAGATGGGAGCTTTGATAATTGATTTGAATTTTTCTCTTGTAATATATACTTTTAGTGTTATACATTTCTCTCTTTGAGCACTTTATTATCTGTGTCCCATAAATTTTGATATGTTGCATTTTTTTTTCATTTTTTTTTTCTTTCCAAGTTATTATTAAATTCCAGTTAGTTAACATAGTGTAATATTAGTTTCAGGTGTAGAATTTAGTGATTCATCACTTAAATACAACACCCAGTGCTTATCACAGTAAGTTCCCTCCTTGATACCCATCACCTATTTCCCCCGTCCCTCTGCCCACTTCCCTTCCAGCAACCCTCAGTTTGTTCTCTGTGGTTAAGAGTCTGTTTCCCGGTTTGCCTCTCTTCACCCCCTCCATCTCTTCTGTTTTGTTTCTTAAATTCTACATATGAATGAGATCATACGGTATTTGCCTTTCTCTGACTGACTTTGCTTAGCATAATACTTTCTGGCTCCCTCCATGTCATTGCAAATGGTCAGATTTCGTTCTTTTTTTTTTTTTTTTTTTAAGATTTTATTTATTTATTTGACAGAGAGAGACACAGCGAGAGAGGGAACACAAGCAGGGGGAGGGGCAGAGGGAGAAGCAGGCCCCCTGCGGAGCAGGGAGCCCGATGCGGGGCTCCATCCCAGGACCCTGGGATCATGACCTGAGCCGAAGGCAGATGCTTAACGACTGAGCCACCCAGGTGCCCCTCGTTCTTTTTTTTAAGGCTGAGTAATATTCCATTATAAATATATATATACACACACATATATTTAAATTTATATATATATAAAAATGGAATATTATATACACATAATGGAATATATATAGGAATATAATAGAATATATATATAATGGAATATATATATTGGAATATAATGGAATATATATATATAATGGAATGAATATATATATATATAAAATGGGATACACACACACCCCATGTCATTTTTATCCATTCATCAGTCAATTGATATTTGGCTCTTTCCATTGGCTGATACGTTGCATTTTATTTTCATTTAATTCAGTGTATTTAAAAATTTTTTTCCTTGTGGCTTCCTCTTTGACCTATGGATTATGGATTATTTGGAATTGTGTTTTGCGTCCAAGAATTTGGAGATTTTCCAGTTTTCTTTCCATTATTGATACCTAGTTTGATTCCATTGTGGTTGGAAAACACTCTGTGTGATTTCAGTTCTTTTAAATTTGTTGTAATTTATTTTGTGGCTCAGAATATAGTCTGTCTTGGTATATGTTCCATGAGCACTTAAACAGAATGTGTATTCTACTGTAGCTGAGTAAGTGCTCTATAAATGTCAATTAGGTTGTGATGGTTGATGTTCAGTTTTTCTCTATACTTGTCTAGTTCTATCAGTTGAGAGAGGAGTATTGGAAGTTTTCAACTATGATTGTGGATTGGTATGTTTCTCATTTCAGTTCTATCAGTTTTTGTAGCTTTGTTGTTTGGCTCATATGCATTTAGGATATATTGCCTTCTTAGTGGACTGATCCATTTATCACTATATATCATTATATAATATCTTATATAATGATATCCCTCTCTAGCCCATTCTTTTTTAGAAATATATTTATCTGATATTAATATAGCCATTTCTGCTTTCTTCTGTTTAATGTTTGCATAATATATTCTCCATCTTTTTACTTTCACCTTGCCTATATCAGTTGATGTGAGTTTCTCGTAGACAGATTAAAAGCTATTTTTAATCCATTCTGCTGATCTCTGCTTTTTAATTGTTGTATTTAGGCCATTACATTTAATGTAACATTAATATATTAGGGTTTAAGTTTGCCATCTTATTTTTTGTTTTCTGGTTTTCATTTTTATGTTTTCTTTCTGTGGGTTACTTGAACATTTTGTAGAACTCCATTTTGATTTATCTGTAGTGTTTTTGAGTTTATTTCTTTGCATAGTTTTTTTTGGTTTTTTTGGTTTTTTTTTTTTTTTTTTTTTGAGAGAGTATACACGTGTGCGCAAGATTGGGAAGGAGGGGCAGAGGGAGAAGGAGAGAGAATCCCAAGCAGGCTTCACACCCAGCCTGGGTCCCGACGCGGGCTCAGTCTTACAACCCTGAGATCATGACCTGAGCCAAAATCAACAGTGGGACGCTTGACTGACTGACACCCATCTACCCCTCTTTGTATAGTTTTTAAGTGGTTGCTCTAGGTATTGCGTTAGGCATACTTATCAGTTTTTTGGTGTTGTCATTTTACTAGTTCAAGTGGAACATAGAAATTGTATCTCCTTTTATGTCCCTTTGCCCTCCTCTGTTTATAATTGTCTTAAATAGTTCCTCTACATATATTTAGAACCACATCAGACAGTGTTATGAATTTTTACTTCAGTCATCAATTTAGAAATCTGAAGAGGGGAAGGAGAACCTATTACATTATTTTGCTGACTGTTTTTTTTTTTTTTTTATTAAAGATTTTTATTCATTTGACAGAGAGAGACACAGCGAGAGAGGGAACACAAGCGGGGGAGGGGGAGAGGGAGAAGCAGGCCTCCCACAGAGCAGGGAGCCCGATGCGGGGCTCGATCCCAGGACTCTGGGATCATGACCCAAGCCAAAGGCAGACGCTTAACGACTGAGCCACCCAGGCGCCCCTTGCTGACTGTTCTTTTTGCTTTCTCAGTGTTCCAGGTTTCTTCTTTTATTGTTTCCTTTCTGCTTAGAGATCTTCCTTTAGCCATTCTTTTAAGGTGTATCTGTAGATGTCAAATTCTGTTAGTCTTTCACCTGAGAATGTCTTTATTTCTCCTCCCACAAGACAACTTACTAACTACAAAGGGAAAAATAGTTACTTCACAGTGGAGAAACCTGTCAGACACCACCTTACCAAGAGATCAAAGTTAACATCACCAATTGTAAGACACACTGCACATCACCTCTGTAGTATTCTTGCCCAAACTGCATGTCCTCACTTCAGTCTTGAGACAATATCAGACAAACCAAAATTAAGGGGCAGTCTACAAAATAACCGATTGATATTCTTTAGACTGTCAAGGTCATGAAAAACAGACTTGAGGAACTATGACAGATTTGAAGAGATATAACAGCTAAATGCAATAGGGAATCCTGGATTGGATTTTGGATCAGAAAAAGAGCCTTAGGACAACTGGCAAAATTCCAGTAAAGTCTGTAGATTAGTCTACAGTATTGTATCAATGTTAATTTTGTAGTTTGATGATTATACTGTGGTTATGCAAGAAGATAACATTAGGGGGAGCAGGGTGAAGGATGTATAAGAACTCTACCATTTGGGGCGCCTGGGTGGCTCAGTTGTTAAGCGTCTGCCTTCAGCTCAGGTCATGATCCCAGGCTCCTGGGATCGAACTCCGCATCGGGCTCCCTGCTCGACGGGAAGCCTGCTTCTCCCTCTCCCACTCCCCCTGCTTATGTTCCCTCTCTCGCTGTGTCTCTCTCTCTGTCCAATAAATCTTAAAAAAAAAAAAAAAAAAACTCTACAATTTTTACAACTCTTTTCTAGGTCTAAAATTATTTCAAAAGGAAAAATTATTTTTCCAACTTTTTTTACACAATGAAAATCAGTCAAAATAAGTCCTTACAGTTCATTTTGCTTGGATAGCAGTCTTCTTTTTAAGTAAGCAAAGTCCTAATTTGTATAAGAAATAAAAAGATTTAAGAGAACATTTCCACGTTCTTTCAGCATTGTTGCAAACACCTTAAAGTCCTTCCTGTACTGAAGCCTGGATAGAATTTCACACAAAGACTCTGCTTCTTTCTTAAGACTGTAATCACATATAATTCCTGTATTTAGCAGATTGTGAATTTTAGATACCTTCTGGAAAACAGTTCTTTCATTCAACAAATTTTTATTGAGCACTTACTGTGTGCCATGCACTGTTCCGGGCCCTGGATAAATGAGTGAACAAGACAGTAAAAAAATCTCTCCTTTCATGAAGCTTAGATCCTATTGGAAGAATATATATATATAACAAAACAAGCATATTTTTGAAGTGTGTTTATGGTTATATTGTGGAGAAAAATAAAGCAGGAAAAGGTGAATGCCAGGATTTGGGGCTTGTGGGGGGTAGTTTCTTTATTATATTTTCTAAAATAGCACTTACTACATTCTCTGTCCCCTTGTTCCATCTTTTATTTTAAGACATAACTATTTGGTATTTTATATACATATATATGATCTTTTATATATATAATCTTTCTCCCTCCATTAGAATTTAAGCTCCATGTGAGCAAGGGCTTTGTTTGTTTACTGGAAGCTAAAGAACAATGCCTAACTTGTAGCTGGCCCTCAATAAACATCTGTTGAATGAATTCTATCTACCTCAGATATTCACTCAGATACTCTACCTTGCTTATTAGTTCCTAGGCACTTAATGGGGGGTCAGTAAATATTTGTGGATTTCATTAATATGCAGACTCAGATTATATGAGACCATTTTGCTATGGTTTGTTTGAGGTTTTTTGTACTTTTCTGGGGAGAGAATGAGCAATGGAATCCCCTCAGACCCTGAGAATGCTTCATAGTTGCCTGTCACCTTGAGGAATGTGTTCAGCCTGTTTGCAAGGGAGTCATCCAGTTGTAACTCCCATTTTAAATATGATACAAACTGTTGTGTCTTTTGACAAATGACAAACATAAAAGGAAAAATCTGTTTTCCTTTCAAGCTGTAGAGCTTTCATAGCTGAATGTCTTAAAGAGGCTACAGTATCTTATCTGTAGATGAAAAATCCCTTTATTCCACTCTTAAATTTTACTCTGTGGCCTGTTAAAATTTGATAGTAGAAGCATCTATTTCTTTTCTTGTAACCCTAATCATCTTTCATTTTATATTTTGAACAGTGTTATTTACTTGTCTACTACACCAGCTGGCGGAATGTCAAATCTTTTTTGACTTTTGGTTTAATCTGTCTGTGCAACATGTATCTCTATGAACTGCGCAACCTGTGGCAGCTTTTCTTTCATGTGACTGTGGGGGCGTTTGTTACACTGCAGATCTGGCTCAGGCAAGCCCAGGGCAAGGCTCCTGATTATGATGTCTGACACCATCCTTCAGACATGTTGCCCTGGCTCCCGGGAAAAAAGGAAGAGGGAGCATATCTTAACTGCCACTGTGATGAAGAAACTGCTCCCCACATTCGAGAAGCTCTGCTTTCTTTCTGTCCAACTGTCCCGTTTGTTTTAAGTCAGCATGGCGTGCCTGGGAGCGTGCAGTACCTGCTAGGCAGACTCCTCATGTTAGCCGTGAGATGATGATTCAGAGGAGGAGGAGACTTCCCTCTACAGGGCCACAACAGTAGAAGAACGGTCAGAAGCCATCGGAAGAATTGGCCAGCGGTCCGGAATCCTTCTGAAGAGTTCGATCAAAACGTGTGTGGTACATGCTCTGAGGACCAAGCGGGAACTCTGCAGCCTGGGTTCGCCTTTGTGAGGCATAAGTAGAGCCTAAATAAAAAGATGCCGTGGAGTTTATGTTTCAGACAACTTGCTAAATATCCGATTATTTGCACATTTCTGGTACTAGGAGTTTATGAAGTCCAGGATGGTGTGGAATTGGTTCTTTTTCCTTTTATATTTTCGCTTGAATCTAATCTGGAAACCACTTGATACAGGAGAAGGCTTTTTTGAGCTTATCTCTAGAACATCACAAGTATTGAAAACACAGTAACATATGTTTCCTTTCTAGACCATGTTTGTAGTTCCTTTTGAAATTACTTTTTAAACATGTGATTTGTTAGATTCTATAGCCATTGTGCCCCATACTTCAACCACTTGAGTATTACCTATACTGTTATTTCTTAGTATTTATCTTTTAAATCTTCAAATAGTTTAAAAAACAAACTAATCTCTACTCTGAGAGGAAAACGAGCATCAATTTAGCAGGAATAACTACAAAATAAAACAAAAGATGTTATTAAATTCTAACTAGATCCCAATGCCTCCTGAGGCTCTGAATCCAAGAAGCCTGCTTGGTGCAGTGAGATAGAGGTTACCCAGCACCAAAATGGGGCGCTTTCTGTGGCATTATCAGAAGGATAAAATTGTAAAGGGAATGACATTTTCACTGTGATTCTGTATTACTTACTTCTGTGTTGTGTACCACCTTAAATACTCTTGCGTGCTACCAGTGGTGTGGGTCCTGCTCTGTGGAAACACTGAACTATGCTGAGAGAATCAGAAGGTAACTTATTCCAGCAGCTCTTACTATTTTGTGGCTTTGAGGAGTTCAGCTCCTAGTAGTATCTTTTAGAGAATTTGTTTGCTTTTTGATAACATTATAAAGGTTGTTCAAGCAGTTATGAATTGATAATATAGGAAGCACAGTTTGATTCCATTAGCAAAATCTGCAACTCTCCTGGTTTTGGAAGGTACCTTCATTAATGATTTTCTTTTGTTTTGAAAGAAAAGATTCCAAGCAAAGTATATATAAGGTACTAAAATTTGATATCCAGAAGACAGTGAACCCATTATGTATAATTCATGTTACTAAGTGTATTTATTAAGCAGAGGAATCCAGAGTGGTAAAGTCATGGAACCACCACGTTTGCCTGAACCTGTATATGCAGATACGTCTGCAACTGTAAAATCTTGCTTAACTAGAACCTTTTAGGAGAATGAGGCAAAAGGAAGACAATAAGCTTGTAATATCAGTGATTTAATTAAAACGGGAAATTCCATTTCAGTTTTCTGACTCTAACAAAACCGCACAGAAATTATGTATTTTCTGAGAACTGCCCCAAGAGATATACTACATGATCCTAAATCAGCAAAATAAAGTTGATTTATGTTTGACATTTTGTACTTACTGAGCCAGGAGAGTGAAGTGGTTCAGTTTAGAAAAATTTTTCTGAACTAATGGTTAAAACAGGAAGAGTTTTCTTGTAAATATCCAGTTAACCAAGAAGTTGGAGCATTCTGCGATTTTGCTATATACTGATACTTTATAGCTCTCTTACCAGTTGGTTCAGTTTGGTTCTCCATATTCCTGAATTATTGAATTATAGTGTTTGGTGTTTGGATCATTCAGCAAGGACACTTTAAAACTCACCAGCTGTCTTTAAAGGCTTAATTTGTTTTTTGTTTTTGTTGTTTTTTCACCGCTATTTTGGATAATGGGATGTTTACATCTTAGTGTAAAAAATGAAAATAGGCATAAATAATGTTTATGTATAGAAATGCTTTCTTTCATTATTTGGTGTCTGCATCGCTGAGTGTTTATATGACTTCTCTGCCTCTATCATGTTGTTGCCAAAGAAACTATTATGAATTTGGAATGAAAAATTTTTGCCATGAGTGTAAAGTTCTTAAGCTCATTAGGCTTCTAATATGTATGTATGATAGTAATATCTTCCATTTATACTATACTTTTAAGAACAAGTCTGCATTTACCTAATTATAATGAGTTTTGTAGTGTAGGAGAATTAGTTGCCTTTTTTTTTTTTTTAAGATTTTATTTATTTATTTGACAGAGACAGACACAGCGAGAGAGGGAACCCAAGCAGGGGGAGTGGGAGAGGGAGAAGCAGGCTCTCCACCGAGCAGGGAGCCCGATGCGGGGCTCGATCCCAGGACCCTGGGATCATGACCCAAGCCGAAGGCAGACCCTTAACAACTGAGCCACCCAAGCCCCAGTTGCTTTCTTGTCACATGTTAATGACTTATCTAGGGCCACAGAGCTAAGCACATGCAACTTCTTATCCCTTAGCTTTGGGGCTCTTCCCCACCAGAGTGGGAACTGATGAAGATAACTAAGGTTGTACTCAGGGAATAGGTCTGTTCTTGGTAAAATCAGGGAACTGGGGACTTAATGAGCTCAGGCCTGGTAGTGTCAAACCTCGGGGTCTATTAAGGTAATTCAGAAATACTGCTTTTTTATTAAGGTGTGCTGTGAAGGCATAGATGCTGTCTTTTATATCCTAAAAATAATTACAATATTTGCTTGCTTTTTTGGTCTGTATTTGAAATGTATTTATACCTGGCCTCTTTCCCCAAAGAACTTGAAGCACTATACCAAAATAAGACCTGTACAGCAATGGTGGTAATATGAACAGAAAGGGAGAAAAACAAGATCAGTGAAAATGAAAGGAAAAGGGAACATGTTGCTGTTATCAAGTGTAAAATTTGACTCTTGAACTTCCTGCAAGTCACGGCTTAGAAGAAGGGGAACAAGTTTTGCATCGCACTAGCTTGCTCTGTAAGTGAGAGTATACCACTTCCTCAGGGGGGACTTCTTCCTGAGGGATTCTCGTAAAAATGTTGGCACTTGGGGCTCCTGTGAAATGTTAAAATGAACAGAAGCCTCAGCTGTTTTAGACATTTGCGTATTGTGATTGTGCCTTGAATCCTCAACTTGTACCAGCTTTCAGAGGTACATTTAAGAATTTTTGGTGTGGTTAATAGAGGATTTTGTTTCCATTAGGAAAAATTCTTATCCTAAGCTAAAATTAGGTATGTGTCAAAGCTTGAAAATCCATTTGAGACAAATGTCTGGAGACATGGAGAACCTTTACCTAATTTTGTAATTTTATAATTTATATAAAGTGAATGTGCTGTCCCTGGATTAGCACATTTATTTTGTATTAATTGTGGTCTTTTTCATAGTAGAATCTAATCTGGACAAATGTCTGGCTCCATTTCTGTTAGGCCATGTCTGGAATCTCATTAGATTTGATTTGTCAAGGCTCCACGGAGCACATTTGTTGTATGAGCCTCACCTCCGTGTCACGGAAGTGCTTCCTGCTCAGATTAGCGGCCCACCAAAAAGGGAGTTGCTTGGCCTTTATTCCAAAAGTTTTACTAAGGAAACTGGGGACCCCACTCTGAGCTATTGGATTTCCAAGAGATACAACAGAACGCACGTGCGTGCGTGTGTATGTGAGTGATTTTTATTTTAAGAAGCTTTTCATTTTAAAAGTTAGAGCTATCATGGAGTATGTAGTAAAAGAACAAATAAATTCAGTTGACCTCGAACATCAAGTGCAGGGGTTAGGGGCACCCACCCCTCCTCGTGCAGTCAAAAATCTATGTATAACTACTTAACTAGTAATAGCCTGCAGCTTACTGGAAGCCTTACTGATAAGCAATTAGCACATATTTTATATGTTATATGTATAATATGCTGTATTCTTACAATAAAGTAAGAAAATTTTTTTTAAATCTTAAGAAAAATGCATTTGTAATACTGTAATTATAAAAAAAGTCCACATGTAAGTGGCTCTGCACAGCTCAAACCTGTGTTGTTCAAGGATCAACTGTACTTCCAAAGAAGCCAGCACGCGGATCGAATTGAACACTTGGCCTTACCACCAGTTATAGGTGACTCCTCAGGGCTGCCATCTTTGTCTGTGGGCAAGCCTTCTTTGTGTTTTTCTGCTTCATCAGCTCTAAGGAAATGCTGATCAAATCTGATTTTTAGTTTTAATTGGCTTTAGTAATATGCTACCTAAAAGTTACTCCAAGGGTGATGAATGAGTTTGTGTTGTAAAGGCTGTGTTGGCTGAGAATTGAAACTCGAATGGTTCTGTTGCTGAGGGCTGGGGGTGTCTGGTCATCTCCATCGGTGCTCTGGGACCACTGTTGAATGTTGGCGTCTCGCAGCCTCCCATTTGAGCAGTGAACTTTTCAAAGAGCAACTGTGGCTGCCACTACTGAAAGCTCTTCCTTGAGTGGCCAGGCTCTCTAGATTACTTTATGTCACAGGTGAAGTCACAGCGTTGAAGCGCTGTGTGGTTGCAGGCCATGCGGCTGGTATCCTCCTCGCTCGTGAGCAGTGATGGCTGTTGTGTGTATGTGTTTTCTTCTGCGTTGGCAGTGCTGGTGTGTAATAAATAGTCTTAGCACAGCGGAGACTGTAGGAAACTCAAGGAGAGAACAGGCTTAGCTCTCAGAGAGTTCCTGAAATCAGTTGTTCCTGCTCTTCCCTTGGTTACAAACCGTGTTCTCAGCCCCACCTTACACACGGGTCCTGTTTGCGCTTGGCTCCCGCGTCCCACAGCCTAGCGTGCAAGTGTCAGTGCATGGAAGCGCAGTCAGGCTCCGTCTGAGAGGAGGAAGCAGGGCTCAACATTTCTCTCTCCCATTCGGTCCTGGCAGCCCCTCCCCAGCTCTGCCCCGATTGTTTGCTGGTTTTGTGCCAGTGCTTTTCTGTGAGGCTGGGTTGTCAAGGACCTTGCCTAGAGGTGAGCAAACAGTCCGTGGCCTTCTACTTTGAATTCCTCCAGTGCCTGGGACTAATGATATGAATTCTTCGCGCCGTCGGTGGGCCAGGGCTAGGTCCTCCGACGTGGTTAATCCTTATGGCAGCCTGGGGCATCGATGGGCTAGCACTCTCTCATGTTCACCTGAGGAAACTTCACGTTCAAACCTGAGATTCAGGCTTAAATGATTCAAAAGTTGGGGTCATATTTCTGTGCCACAGAATCTCAGGAAGAATATTCCTTGTGAGTTTGTGTGTGTGTTCCTGACAACCACTGGGCTCTTACTGTTGTAGCAGCAGTGAGAACAGACAAAGCCGACATGGAGGGGAAATGGCACTGTGTATGATAAGCACATCATCCTCCCAGAAAGCCTTTCTGTAGGCTCTCTCTTTTTTTTTTTTTTTAAAGGTTTTATTTATTTTTTGACAGAGACACAGCGAGAGAGGGAACACAAGCAAGGGGAGTGGGAGAGGGAGAAGCAGGCTTCCTGCTGAGCAGGGAGCCCAATGCGGGACTCGATCCCAGGACCCTGGGATCATGACCTGAGCCGAAGGCAGACGCTTAACGACTGAGCCACCCAGGCGCCCCTAGGCTCTTTTTTTTATAGACGAAGCATCTGAGGCCTAAAGAGGTTCAAGGACTTGACCTCAGTCACAATCTAGCTCATGTGGTGGCACCAAGATTTTAATCCAGATCAGCCTTACCCAGAACTCATGTTCTTAACCACCATGTAATATTAAGCTAGACAAAATGGAAATATGTTGAAATATATAAGGAATATATGTTGGAACGTATAAGTAATCTACTTTTTAAATAAGAGATTGGTCAGTGCTAACTCCTGCAGTGTGGATTTTCTAGACTGAGTAGTTTCCTAAAATTCCTGCATCTGTAACGGTACATGGGGGGACATGTGGCTGCAGGAGGTATAGTGAAACTTAAACGTGCCTTAGATTTTAGGGCAAGGAGCTATACAGTCTGGTCTTTGTAGTAAGACTAACTCATGAATTAATGATTCTTGATGTAGAATGTTAAAGCTTCACTGGTGATTCATTTGTTATAAACATTTACTTTCCCTTTTCGATTTTTTTTTAAGGACCCATTTTATGAATCATTTATTTAGCACATAAGCAGGGGCGGAGAGGGAGAGAGAGAATCCCAAGCAGACTCCCCACTGAGCACAGAGCCCGACATGGGGCTCAATCCCACAATTCCCAAGACCATGACCCAAGCTGAAACCAAGAGTCAGACACTTAACTGACTGAGCCACCCAGGCGCCCCTCAAACATTTACTTTTTCTAACTGAAGGACAGAATCGATTGGTTCTTTGATATAAAGTAATTTTATGGGAAGTCTGCATTAAATGGTCCCTATATCTGAAAACGCTAAACGAAAAATAGAACATTTACTATTTGCAATTTTGAATAGTGATTATGAATTTGGAGTCAGACTCCCTGGCTCTCCCTTGTACTAGCATTGTGACCTCTGCAAGCCACGTAACCTCTTTGCCTCCATTTCCTCGTCTGTAAAGTGGGGATGATAATAGTTACCTTGGGCAAAGTGTTGCCGTGAGTATTTAAATGAGTCAATAAATACAGAGTACTTAGAACAGAGCCTGGCACAGTGAGTACTAGGACAGCATGGTCCATAGCATTATGGTCTGTCTTGTTGGTGCTACTACTACTTTTAAGATAGTAAGTCTCTTACGCTGTAAATGCCCCTAAATAGAAGTCACTGTACAGAGTTTTCAGAGATCAGCTAAGTGAGGATTCTTTTGAACTGTCTAGCAGGCATGTTGCCTGCCCTGGCAAGCCCTTGGGTGCAGACTTCTGGGCAGGGCAGTGAGGATGCATTCCAAGAGAGGAGAAGGGTTTGGAGAGACTCATGCCTGCCAGGCACCTGCTGCACATCAGGTGCTTTCTGTACAGGTTATGTGAGCTTGACAGAATCCATCTGAGGTCAGTGAGCAGGATGACGTCGTCCAGTGTCACACAGCCTGGCAGTGGCAGACTGCGCTCTCCAGGAGCCCACAGTCTCCCAGGCGCTGGAGCGCTGTCCAAGGGGGAAGGTGCCTCTGGGAGCCTCACTTGTTCAGTGTGGCCCTAGCGCTGTGGCCCCATCATTGTTTGAACACTCTGATCTAGTGGGTACTCTTGAACGGTGGCTGCCCTAGGGCCCACCACTGTGTAAGGGCCTTCATGAGTGTGCATGTGTGTGTGGTCTCATGGTCTCTGCTCTGATGGGAAGCAGAGGGTGGCGGAATGAAGCCAGCAGCCTCCAACCCATGATACGGAAATAACATATAGTGCTGGGGATGTGAAGCTCAAGGCACTCTTAAAAAGTGCAAATGCAACATGGCTTTTAAAAGATTAGTCTGACGCAAAATGCAGCCCTCCAAAAAAAAAAAAAAATCCCACATGAGCCAGGAAGTGCCAGTCTAGCTAACTGACAAAGTCAAAGCACAGAAGCAAATTTTGCAAAATTGGAAAATAGAGATGCTGACAAACCAGAGATTCCAGGCAGGTCTAAATTAGAAATTGGCTGAGAGGGAGAAAAAGTGATGAGGCCCCTCATGGACTCCAGTGAAAACTCTTTAATTCACAGGCCTAACAGACCAGCAATAGGAAAGGGGCCTTGAGGATGAAGATGCATTCAGCAAGTGAGGGGGTGGCTCCGTTGCGTTCACTAGAAACAGACGGGTGGGTGAGGTGTAGGGCTGGCAGGCCAGTGGGGACGGGGTGCCTACTTTACCCTCAGCCCTAGA